GGGAATGAAAACTGAAGAGGGAAGAGAGCTTACTTGGCTCGGAGGGCTGGAGGGCAGGAGAGAGAAGTTGACCGGTGAAACTCGAGAAACGCGCGAGGAAGAAGTGAGGAAGGCAGTGGGGATGGAAGCCTTTATATAGGCGAGGAAGAGAGAGAGGGAGGCGACGTGGCTTCACCAGGGCGCGCCGCGTCAGGCGGCGCCATCATTGCACCTGGGAAGACGAAAGGGCGCAGGTCTGACGCCGTCCAGCGGGCAACACGTGTCATAACCGACACTTTGAATTTTGAAATTCAAAAATTTCGAGCGGGAAAAGCCAAAAATTCAAATTTAAAGGTCCAGTTTTAAGTTTTTACTTCCCGCTTATGAAAAAATTGCACAACCGAGAAGTGGAGGGCTTAATGATGGGTGTATTTCACCCATGACCGGTCAACGGTTAAGACCGGATAGTTGACCGGTCAAAGAAGTCAAACTTGCAAGAGAGGTCTAGATCGTCGGCGAAGGGATGACTGGTTGACCAAAAGGTTGACCGGTATGCTTAGGATAGTATACCAGTCAAACTATACCGGCGACTAATTCACCCTACAAAGATGGCCACGCCAACCCGCAAGGACCAACCGGTGTAGTTCCTAGAGATTGGGGAAGTGTCGGCAAGAGGAATCCAAAAGGACTTGGACTGTAGTGTTTGGAATTGCAGGGATGCTGAGAGAATATTTCCAAACCAGAACGCGACAAGGGTGCCACCCCCCGCGCAAGATGACAAGGCAGCTCAGAGCCAGTCACTTCACACCACGCCAGCAGCATGCCCCCACGTGGGCGCACGTGGTCCTGCTCCCCAGCCTAGTATATATACCTCTTGTAACCCTCGAATGAGAGGATCAGAATTCATTTTCTAAAAACTCCCTTGTAAAAGCACCCGTGCATTCTCCTTTATAATATAAATCGGGCTACAGGTGTTCCACCTAAAGTCCTACCGGTCAATTTGCGTGTTTTTACCTTTCTTACTTTGCCAAATCAAGCAAACTATTCTAGACCCGGTCTAGTGTAGTTTGACCGGTCAAGTAATTTACAACATCAGGTGTAAATCAAGAATTTCAACTAACAATCTAATAGTGTACACTGACACAAAATACGAGTACAATAACAAAATTGTACATTGGTAACTTGTATCCATTTGAATAATTAGTGTGACTATAAATTTTTGGTGTATGTTGAGTTGTGCATAGATGCTTTTTCCTATGTTCTCTGTCCCAATCTTGATTATAATTTTGATTACAGATTTGGATTAATGAGGCAAAATATTCCATCTTTTGATGTTTATTTTATTTTTAAATTAGTATATTAATAAATAAAAAAATTATAAATTAAAAAATTTTGTCAAAAGTTTTATAAAACAAAAACGATAAAAATATTTTATTTTATTAAAATAAATGAAAATACAAAAATAAGTAAACATTATCTAGAGGGAAAAAAATTGTAATTGCTACACCACTTTTTAAGTTGGAGTATCACTGTATCAGATAGAAACTGTGAGTCTCCGTACATTTCTTCACTCTCTTCACACTTCTCGGCTCTTCCGAAATTCAAACCGCAGATAATGGCAGCAGCAGCTCCGCCGCCTCCACCTTCCTCAGTCCCCGGCGTCTTCAAGGAGGACCTGATCCCCACCGCCGGCTATCAAGTGTTCACCCGCATCCGCCTCGCCACCGCAGCCGACGTACCCCACATCCACAAGCTCATCCACCAGATGGCGGTCTTCGAGCGCCTCACCCATCTCTTCTCCGCCACCGAAGCTTCTCTCTCCACCACCCTCTTCCCCGCCTCTGACCCGCCTCCTCCGTTCACCTCTTTCACCGTCTTCATCCTCGAAGTCTCCCCCAATCCCTTCCCACCCGCTGCTGCCGCAAATCCCCCCAATTTCTCCCCAATCCACAAAACCCTAACCCTAGACCTCCCGATCGATGACCCAGAAGCCCAGACATTTGCTCCCCAGGGACTGAATGACGTAACTGTTGCTGGATACGCGCTGTTCTTCCCCAACTATTCCTCATTCCTGGCGAAACCTGGGTTCTACATCGAGGATATATTTGTGCGGGAGACTTACCGGAGGAAGGGGTTTGGGCGGATGTTGCTGTCGGCCGTGGCTGCTCAGGCGGCCAAGATGGGGTATGAGAGGGTTGAATGGGTGGTGCTGGATTGGAATGTGAATGCGATAAAGTTCTACGAGCAGATGGGGGCTCATGTGCACAAAGAGTGGTGCATTTGCAGGCTCTCGGGCGAGGCTCTCCGTTCGTATGCTCCTTGATCTCATCTTTTTTCGCTATGAAATTTGACAAATCCCTTTCTGCTTCTCACTGTGCATTTGGTGTTCATCTTTGTCCACTTCAAAAATAACTCAATTGATGCAGAATGAATTGTCTTGAAATTCGTTTTCCCACTGAAAGAATTGAAAATGAATGGATGAATATGGTGATGCATTGTGTCTGCTTGTTTGACCTTCATGATCAGTAGATCTTACTCTGCTATAAGTTTGAGCCATTCATGTGCTTAAAATAATTGTGAAGATACAGAACAAAACTTATTTATTTGCTCTGGGCTTTGGCCATAAGAAAAGGGTTAGTCTTTGTCATGTTCCAGATAAATGTAAGAACTGAATATGGAGAAGAAGCTATAGGCTGCAAAAGCTTTCTTTCAATAATCATTCTGCCATTTGATCTGTGCAGAATCTTCATGTGTGATGCATACAAGCGTAAGCTTTACCCTCAATAGCCAATAGACATTTTTCTTGGCATTTTAGGTAAAATGTTTCTACTTTCACTTTCACTTTTCTTCCATCTCAAAATACACTACTTTCAATTAAAATCTCTCTTTTTGGCATTTAGACTAATTATTTACTTATCTATTCACTATTAATTTATCAATTTGGAAAAAACATCAAAATTGCAAATTTCTTAAGTTTCACTTGTTTTCAAAGTAGAAAAGTTTCTAGAGTGAGTTCATACATAGCTAGCTACCTACCTAAGAGGTGGGGAAATATCACGGAGTACAATAAGTCACTGTTTGGCGTGATACCCCGCACCGGTCCACACCGTATTGTGCCCGTACATAATACATCGGTCTAAAAGGTGGAATCGCCCACCCCAGGTGCCCCCACCCCTGGCCCGATAGGGATGGTGGAGGAAGTAAATCGTGGTGACTCAGTCGGCCAAGAACGCTAGACCCGTGCCCACCGTGCACAAGGAGCCTCCTCACCCTTTATGGGATTTTTGGATAGCTCCCACACTGCCGCTTGCGGGACTCGATCTCTGGTCATCGGTCCAAGATTTCACGCCCTTGACCAACTGAGCTGCCCATGCGGCCCGTACATGATACATAACTATAAATGAGGCTACCACGGGTCATTTACATATTCCTTATTGAATTTAGGATTTCATTATTAAAAAATAAATATCATATGGGTAGTATCTAGAAAGATGGTTGAACCCCAATCTCAAGATCCACATAGTACCAACTTGAAAGTATGCTAGTAGGAGGTAAATGAAGTTATATTGTCACTATGGTTGAAAAAAAGTGGGTGTCCCTGTTACGTGCAAGAATTTCATGCAAAGTTGTGGGCGGTAATAAAATATACATAATATGTAGTGCTATTTGTTAAAAACAAAAATTGGGCCCATATTTTGGAGGCGCTGTGCGGTTGAATGGGCCTGAAGCGTCTAAGGCCACCTTGATATTAGTACTTACCTTAGTTTACCTACATTGACCTGTGTGTCTTTGGTTCCCAAACGCGGGTAGCGACTTTGTGCCCCACCCTCCTCCGACCAAACAATGCATTAGAGACCAAGGAAGACTTGGTGATACTTATAGACTAGTGGAGTACCTTTGGAGAGTAAGTTCCAAGAAGCCTGAACAAGATGGTTTGAGCATGTAAGGATGAGAATTGTAGAGGTCCGGCTTATGGATAGATCGCCTTGAAGAGTAGACATAGGAAGAGTAGGAAAGAAGTGACTAGGCAGGAGTTACGTTTTCAGGAAGTTACCGAGGGTATAAGCTAGGATAAGATCGCCTGGAGAGCTAGAATCGTCATATAGACCTCTAATCCTTAGTTTTGAACTCCGTAGTTTTTATTGTTATGTTTTTTCCTTGATAAGCCACTTGTGCGTTTGTGCTCTCCATGCTTTTAGTCTAGTTATTAATGTCAGTATGTGTGTTTCTTGAGTATGTGCTCTCACCTTGTTCAGGCTACCGTGTTTATTATACTCTGTCCATGTTTTTTGAGTCCGGTGTATCTTAGAAACAACTTCTCTACTTTCTGGGAGGGGTAAAATATGCATAGACACACTTTCATGAGTAGTCTCCCCAGACCCTACTTCCATGGTGTGTTATCGAGTTTGTTTGTTGTTGGGGTTGTCGTTGTTGTTGTTGTGTAAAGTTACGTGGGGGCCTCCGTCTACGAACATCTTTAATGCAAATGGCTTAAATAAAGTTCTTAGCTAGTTTTTATTATTAGAGTGATAAGCAAGAGTTAATTAGTGAAGCAACCCTCTAACAAAATGAAGCAAGTGTGCTTTCATTTCACAAGTCACATAAGTATTTTTTTTATTTATTTTAAAATATGCCTAGGCAACTTAGTTAAAGATGCTCAAAGAGGCAGTAGCACTAAAGAGTATGAAAATGGCCAAGGCTCTATGCATAAATAAGATCCACTAAATGATTAAACTTAAACTCACTACATCTGTGAAGATTGTAATCTTATAGCAGTTTGCTTTTACACTGGTGATATTTTTTGCTAAGATTGTTTCCACACAAAAGCGACTGTATAATAGAAGACTAGTACCACATACTCGCTGATAACTCTCGTAAAGTTTCACGACTGATAGTGATATGGGTCGGAAGACCCGGGCCCATAGTGTCGAGCTTGGCCTAGTCCATGCTCGGACCGCATGCGGTAGGAAACACGGTAAGGAGGAGGGCATGCTGGGCCGCACTCGCAGAGAGCCAAGGACAGACCCGCTCGGCATTGTCGTGCTCGACCTCGAAAGGGGCCACCTTGTTATTAAACTTCACAAGGTTGATATACGTCGTACTAACTTTGAATCCTATGATTGATGTAAAAACAGATTAGTGTATGATTAGAGATTTTAGAGGTCACATATGCGTTTGAGTTAATTTATTTATGTGGAGGAAATTGTGAGACAATATGCCATTATTTCAAAAGCATAGAAGAGGCAAATGATGTAATTAGCTGCTTGCTAAAAGTAATCAATCAAGCACATGAAGATGCAATTATAAAGGCACAACTGTAAAGTTATTATGTCTTCATGAGTACTTACCACGTTCATTCATAGACCCAATCACGAGGTTTATAACTCCACAGGTGGCTGGCTCCTCGATCACTTGAATGTTTCTACCTTACTCCCATCATCCCAAAATAAACTTCTCAATTTGACTTGACAAAAAGTTTAAAAATAGTGAGAATATGTCGTTGAAAAAAAAGACTTTTTTTGGGACGTCATGAAATGGAAATAAAGTCTTTTTTTTGGGGGGGCAGTATTGTCGAACTTTACTAATTTTTCTAGAGTTTGCATTATAAATATCAAAATATATGAAAAAATGTTGTTAGATTAATTAATGTATATTACTCCCTTCGTTTCGGAGTATTTTCCAATTTTGACTTTTTCAGTCAAAATTTGTAAACTTTAAGATTAAATTAAATAAAAATGATATTAAATATTGAAACAAAAATACTTTTATTAGATTTATTATATAAGATATTTTCATAATACTATTTTGTCTAATTAATAAATTTTATATATATATATATATATATATATATATATATATATACTCCCTCCGTCCCACTGTCTTTGTCCACTTACCTTTTGGCACACCATCCAATGCACTTCTTTAATCCATTTTATCTTGTAATTTGTATATTAAAAAATTATACAAATTATATATTAATAATCTATATGTTAAGACGAATCAAACAAGATCACACATGACTATTTATAGGCTTACACATTAAGAGAATTTGATGAGTCAAAGTGTTTAGATGAACAGTTCCAAAAGTCAAAAGTGGACAAAGACAATGGGACGGAGGTAGTATATTATAATTAATTAATTATAAAGTCAAAACAGAACAAAAAAACGGAAGTCGTAGTTTATATTATTCTGCATCTCTAATAAGGAGTATTTTATATTCCTTTATGAATAATAACGGAAACTACATATTAACTCTAAAGTGGACACATGTGGGCGTAGTGGCAAGAAAGTCATCCCAAACTTTTCTACATCAAGTGTTCGAACCCCACACTTGCAATTAAAAGATTAAGATTACTCTGTATTAAATTAATAAGATACTACATTAATGGTCTGAGAGCTAACACAAAATTCTAAAAATATTAAGGAGTAATATTAAAAACTATTGTTAGAAAAAAATTCAAAACATTGAAGCTAAACACTTAAGTCAAGGTCCCCAAAGCTGCTCTTCATTTTTTTGGGTGTTATTGACACCACTTGTTTGATTTGCCATGCTGAAGCAACATATGAGGATCAATGGATTGGGCACATTATAGGTATGAGGGAGACACTATTGATGAGAGCATTGGGAAGTTGCAACCAGTTGCCTGTGTCTAATGCATGCCAACAAGCTGATTCCTTAATTGAGTTTGTTGTTCTTTTGTAGTTTGACATATCTGCCAATGTTTGGTGTTTGTAATGCCACTCATATGTGCTCTTGGTGATTAATATACTTTTTCTTTCAGTTTTTTTAAAAAACTAAATACTCCTTCCGTCTACAAAAAATCTACTTTCATCACAAACTTTGAGTGGCGTACTATCTTTTTCTTTCCTCTGCATATCTTTGTACTAAGTCAAACGGTGAATCTTTTTTTGAGACAGAAGCGGTATGCTTTTAACCCTTTTTACCTAAACTTTCAGTGAGTCACAATCTTCTTTTTCCTTTACAAAACTTTCAACGCCACATTTTCACTTTCATTAAATTTTTGCTAAGTCAAATTGTGGGTCTTTTTTTGAAATGGAAAGAGTATGTTTTTAACCTTTTTTTACCTAGAAAATTCTTAAATTTTTATCTGGAACATATCCTGTCGTTCCAAAACACTAAGTTACTAGAGTAATTTTTTTGTACCAAAAAAAATTAATCCATATTTTGGAACACAACCTGAGCAAATGGAGGAATATAGGAGAAATTAAATGAGAAGCAATTCATTTTTTATATATATAAAAAAGAAGAAGCCAAGTTCCATTGTTTACTACAAGTTGAGTGCGTTTTGTCTGAAAGAATACGGAGTATATATCCAGGTGGGTCAACCAAGCTTCGTGAAGAAGACGAGAACGAAAAGAAACACAAAAAGAAGACTTATTAGATATAGAGAGACGGTCAAACCTGCAACTCTGACAACTTCCCATGGATGAATCTTAACTCTGAGCCACTCCCGACGCATTGATGGTGATGAGGTGAAGTGTGAAGATCCCTTTCAAGTCATGTGCAAATCGAAGAAGATGATAAGCCGTGCGGTCATCCCACCTTCGGCCAAGACGAAGAACCCGCCGCCGCCGTTCGACCCATCCACCAGTGGCCAGATCATGAGCTCCTCCGCTTCCACCTCCAGCTTCTATGTCAATTTCAACAAGGACTCGCAGTCCTGGAAGTCTTCCCGATCCAGCGGCAGAAATTCCCTCTCCAGTCTCCGAGAGGCTCTCCCGGAGCAGCCTCGAATCTACGATTTCCCCGAGATTCGCTCCGCCACGCAGAACTTCTTACAGCCGCCTCTGTCCTCCTCCTCCACCGCCACCTCCTGGCGCTGCGTGGTCCGCGGCCAAACCGTCGTCGTCATCCAGAGGAAGTTCCGCCGCCTGCTGGAAACGCCGGAGCTGGTCGAGCGGGTGGCGATGATTTGCAGAAGCCACCACTCGAGCTTGATTCCCCTGAAGGGAGTCGCGGTCTCAGGGAATTACATTTACTTGGTCTATGAATACATCCATGGAGCCAATCTTCGCGACGCTCTCAGAAACCCTCGAAACCCTAATTTCACGATTCTCTCCAATTGGATGCTCAGAGTTCAGATTGTTTCCGATATAGCTTCAGGTCTCGATTACATTCACAATTCTACCGGTCTAGGCTTCGATTTCGTCCACAACCACATCAAGAGCTCCAGCATCATCGTCACGGATCCTCCACTCGGCGCCAAAATCTGCCATTTCGGCACGGCGGAGCTCTGCGGCGAGATCGCGAAGAGGAATTCGGAATCGGACGTGGATGTGGAATCGAACCGTAAGGAGATGAAGTTCGAAGGTACCAGAGGATACATGGCGCCGGAGTTTCAATCCACGGGGGCCGTGTCGCAGAAATCCGACGTCTACGCGTTCGGCGTGGTGGTGCTGGAGGTGGCGTCGGGGACGGAGGCGTTGAAGTACGTTGTGGACGAGGAGACGGGCGGCTACGCGAGAATCTCCGTCGTCGAGACGGCGAGGGAGGCGTTCGACGGTGGACGGATCAGACAGTGGGTTGACCCGCGGCTGAGGGATTCTTATCCGGTGGATGTGGCGGTGAAATTGGTGCGCTTGGCGCTTGAATGCCTGGACGATAACCCGAATGTCAGGCCGGATACGGGTCAGATTGCGGTTCGGGTTTCTCAGATGTTTTTGGAGTCGCAAATATGGGCCAATAAAATTGGGCTGCCTACTGACATCACGCTTTCGCTTGGACCTCGGTGACACTAATCTCCTCCTGCGGCCTGCATGGAATTATTTTATATTTTTCTTTTGTTTTTGAATTTTTCTCCCAACAAGTAAGGGGGCAGTAAGAGGTCTGAACCATTAAGTGCTGAACCAGTAAGAGGTCTGAACCATTAAGAGCTAGTATATTGCTTAACTATTCAAAGGCAAATGTCTGATCAATTCAGATAAGAGGTCTTAACCATTCAGACTCTGTATAATACTTAACCATTCAGAGGCAAATCTCTTAACCATTCAGACATCTGAACCATTAAGAGGCTGAAACAAACAGTCTGAATCATTAA